TGTCGTTTCGTTCGTTTTCCGACTTGTCGCTCGACCCCATGCCTGAGCTCAAAACCAGCTTGTTGTGCGCTCTCATGAGTCCATAGCAGATCAGTGAGCTTCGCGAACGTTCGTGCTTGCAGTGTGTTGTTGTTGTGGTTGTTGTTGTGGTTGTTGTTGTGGTTGTTGTTGTTGTTGTTGTTGTTGTTGTTGCCGCTGCTGCTGCCGCTGCTGCCGCTGCTGCTGCTGCTGCTGCTGCTGCTGTCGCTGCTGCTGCCGCTGCCGTTGTCGCTGACGCTGTCGCTGCAGCTCCAGCTGCCGCTGCTGCTGCTGCTGTGTTGCTGCCAGCTGCTAGCCCAACAGCCGAACACACCCGAAAACCCGAACGACCGCACAAGCAGGCCTGCAGTGCTCGTGGCACTTGGCCCAGAGGCAGCTGAAGTTTGCTACGGCAAGATATGTCGGTGTGCTTGTGCGCGTCTGGAAGCCAGTGATATCCAGTGATTCAAGTAGTCGATCATGATGTGGCGAAGTCCGATGAGCAGATGCGGGCCAGTCATCTGAACTTTTGAAGCCGTTTAGGAACTAGTTGAGGAAGGTTTAGGCCTTTCGGAGCAAGAACCTGGCGAGGTAGGTGAGGACCTGGAGCAGGAGATCCGAGGCGCACGAGCTTGAAAGCGGTTCTGAGGGGGAATGCAATGAACGCATCGATGGATTTTGGGCCGTTTCGGAGTCATTTACCAACAAAAACAGCTACGACAGCTTCAGCTAGGCACCCTTTTTCCTAGTTCGCAGGGGGATGGAGCGCCCGCCTTGCCATGCCAGTCCTGGAAGGCGCGCAGCGGGACTTCTCGCAGGACTTCCTCTTCGGAGCCCTGAATGGATCCCATTGGTCCGAGGAGCACCGCCATGAGTTCGAGGCATTCTGGGCTAAAGAATGTGACAGCCAAAGCAAGACTGGAATGTGACAGCCCCAGCAGTGTGGGCCACTTTTGTGTAAAGCATGTCACAGCCTGGGGAGGAGCTCAAGATGTTCAACATCCATCCACAGGAGCCAGGGCCGAACCCCTGTCGCGCCGAGTAGGTGCAAGCCAGGTCTCGGGGTTCCCTGAAGCCCGAAGCTCTGGGTCACCGCATGACTTTTCAGGCCTAGCAGGGCCTAGCAATTGAACGTGACTTAGGGTATCCGCTGTTGTGCTGCAAAGCTGCGGCCGCCCTCTGATGGCTCAAGTCCCACGAGACGCTTTAATTCTTTTTATCGGTTCCAGCCCCAGCCCCAGCAACAGCCAACGCCAATGCTGCAATCTCCCGCCCCTCAAAGTTGAGCTCCCGGACCCACTTCTCACAACGCCACACACAGCATCAGACCCTTTACCCACCCTTAACCCCGAGAAGGGTGCCCAACCTAAAGTTAGCAGCCGCAGACCACACAGCTCTCACGTCCGCAAGGGCAACAGAGAAAGTACTCACTAGAGTCTGGAGTATCTTGCTGAAGCTTGCTCGGGATTCTCCGGGGGATTTCTTGAATCGGTCGCATTTTCGGCGCCCTTTCCAGAGTCCACTCTGCCCGAGCCATGACGACATGTGCGGAGCCTTGACTTCGCCCTTTACTCCCGGTTCCCGATCACACAGTCTCCATAGCTCCAGCTTTGTCTCAACCTCAAAAATTCTGGCAGCCGAGGACCTGAATGCGCCTTACTCGCGAGCAGAACTGAAGCGGGCCTGCACCTGAACTCCAAATTTGTGTCAGACCGCGCATCTTCGAGCCTCCAAAGCTATGACGAGCCTGGTCTTTGCTGCGTGAGTGCAGCGCGACAGCGCAAGCCCAGGTCAAGGCGGTTCGGTTCACCATGTTCGATGCAGACACCCTTACGGCGCAGGGCCCTCGGCAAACTAGGGACGCTGAGGAGGTGATCAAACTCCGATTATTTTGCCCTGCGATAGGTACTCTGTCGCGGAGATCTCCAGCAACGAGATCTACAGAAATGGTCAGCCAGTTTCTGGGCAAGACTGCTGGGCTTCGCTGAAGAGACTTCGCAGATTCTCAAGCCACCTTAGGTTCATGGAGGCGTGAACGACCCACGGCTTGGTCCTATCGATGTGCGCAGCTGGGCCTAACCCCTGCACCCAAACTCCCTGAAATGTCAAAGTTTGTGAGAAGATCGCAAGGTAACAGTCGGAGCACTAAGAACACTTTGGCTTCGAGCCGGAAATCAGTGGGAAAAACTCCAAGGAACGCCATGCGAGACTTGTGGGGAAGGCCACCTTCGTCAGAGCACAGCAGTCGCTGTTCGATTGCTGGAGACGTTGCTACAATTGCTGCCCTCCAATCACGGCGACTTTCAGAGACGACTTGAAGGCAAACACAGTACTTTAAGCATCTTTAAGTTAGATATTTTGAGCGGCTTTATCCGGGTGAATGTCGTCGAGTAAAAATCCTGATGCCTGAAGCCGTATCCTACGGAGGCATTAAGTCGTGCCCTGGTCATTGGGGTCACCTTACCCTGGCCAGACCAATGCAAGGGCCCCGGGCAGATTGAAGCGCAGCAAGTTGACGGGCATTTGAGAGTTTGTCAGCACGATCTCCCTGGTAGCATGGCAAGATGTGCCGACACAGACAGGGAGAAGCAGGACTGATGCCTCGGTTCAGTTTTTTTCCAGGGGAAGCTCTTCCTTGACGAAGCAAAGCAGCCATGAGCGCACAACGGGTTGACAGGTAAGGTTTGGAGCTCCTTTCCAAACCTTGCAGCCGAACCTACTTGACCCAAACCAACCTGAAATGCAAACGTTGAGTTGAATCCTGTGCGAGCCATGCCGGAGTATGAATGCCTTCCGCCACATGATCCGAATGCGGATGGCGCCCGCTCCTCGCAGGCCTGCAGTACCTTCCTACCCCGCCTCCTCATACCGGGTTGGAAGGCGCAAACTTTCGCATGATACACCAACAATGGCTTTGATGACAGTTTGGGAGAGGCTCTGAACTCCTTGCAGTCTGTCCTCTGCAGAAGGCGGCAGGTGATGGTGAGAGCTTGCGGACCCAGCCGCAGCCGCGACAGCAATGGCGGGAGCCTTGAAGTGCAGTGTTCACGGTACGTGGGTCCAACTGGCTTTGGACGAGACTCCGGCTGTGTTGTGGACTGGTGGGCCAGTCGGGGGCGTTCCTTGTTTTCCAGTCAGGTTGAGCTCCTTGTGGCCCTTCTCCCGGGAGAGCCGGGCAAGCGAGACACAGGCGGGAGCGCATCAGAAAGCCACAGCTTTTTCCGGGGTTTGAGGGTTTTAAAGCTTGGGGAGTTGAGGGCTTTGTGGCGGGAGTTTCACTAGTGGTGTGTGATGGAGAGCCGGTCTCCCAGTGGAAGATTTCTCTCTCCTGCAAAGCCCGAGTGCTGAAGAAGTGTCAGTCCGAAGCCCTACACTGGGCCAACCGAGAGGCTCATCGGGGCGCCATGCTCGGCCTTCGTCAGGGAGATCTCCGGTGGATGCCCGACGAGAAGTGCACCAAGTGCCCTCGCATCGAAACTTTGCTTGGTGAGGTCTTAGAGCGTTGCTTCGCGCGCGAAGACCTGCTTAAACGTCTACCATATTTCCACCCAGCTGAATTTGAGAGTGATGCGGCCTCCTGCAGGTGAAACCAAACTGAAAGAGGGTGTTGCAGTGTTGCCGTGATTTCCACCGACAACCCAAGCTTCGATTGCTTGGTCTTGACCGCTTGCTGCCTGGTGTTTGGTAGCACCACAAGCTGGCCAATAGTCACTAACAACAGAATGCACGAGACAAAGCACAACTACTGTTGCAGCCACCAGTATAGAATAGACAGCATGTTGAACTTGTAAAGTTGTTTCATATTGCTGCGTAGAGGTGCCAAAGGACCACCCGCTCGATATCGCGCGATGGGGGCTTGTTGCCCTTGTGGCTAAGTCACTCAAGCTTCAGCAGAGGTGCTTCGCCTGTGGTGAACCTTTCAGTGCATGGAGAAGACGCCACCACTGCAGGCGCCGGGGTTCCGATAGGACCTCGTTGGCCCAGAACATAGCCACATCAAACCAGAAACAACACAACCGGATTCAAGAACTACATCTGTTTTTTTGGTCAGCCTGCATGCTTAGGTAATTCGTTTCAGGCCACTTGCCCGCCCCTGGCAAGGTTATGCGGCCAAATCTTTTGTTACAGCTGCTCCAACAACTTCATTCCTGGCAAGCTCGTTGGACGCCCCACGGAGGCGCACCGGTGATGAACACAGACCGTCCATGCATGGAGAAGCTGGCATCCGTCACACTTGCCGCATACTTTTTGTCTGGTGGAATAGTGTAGGGGTCATTGCAAATTAGAGGCCATTTTTTGGCGAATGGTGTTCGAGGATTCTCGCAAGAACGGGGCGTCGTGAGACTTGCGCCTTGACCAGGGCAAGTCTCGACTTTGCGAGTCCTGCTTGGAGCAACCCGGTGAGGAGTGAACCGTTCATGGAGGGTTGCCAAGGATCTTCAGAGAATGGGTACTTCTTGAGGAGGGTGTACAGTTTCTTGGGGATGGGGGGCCCAGCACTACGAGGGTCACCACACACTTCAAGCAGGGACAGAGCGACTACCGACGGCGGGACAGACTGGGACCCAGCGTGGCAGCACACAGTGGCGGAGCTTCCTGGACACCTCGGCCCTTCGGTGGAGGGGTCCTCGGCCTCCACACACACAGTGAGGTTCTGCGACGAAAGCCTGATCATCCAGCGAAGCAGCGCTGCTTCGGCTGGCCTCGCCACTGGGCTGCAAACGGACGTGCTTGATGGTCTTGCTCTGGACTTTTGGTGATGCTGCTGCGCCTTATGTGCACAGTCAGAGGTTCGCGTGTGGGGATTGCTTTTGCGGCGAATGTTGTGGCAGTAAATGCCGATGTCAGGAGGCCCTGAGCTCGCAAAGTAGCGGCTGCCTTGAAGAGAGATCAGGCCGCCAAGCCCCAAACACGGGCCAATCGTGCAGTCCGTGGCACTTCATGAAAGCAACCTTAGGTTGCAGGCATGCAGCTGTTCCGGCGTGAAAACCGTGCATCGACAGAGGATGAGGAGACATCATGACTTGTCCTTGCTCACTCTACTGGTCCTCAAAGGACTCAACAGCCAAGCTTTGTGCGGGAATCCGACTCTCTAGATCCCTTGTGCGAGGACACCGTCGAGCAGGAGGACCCTGCATGTCGCGTGGGTTGCTGGCTTCGGCCTTCGTGTCGGTATCGCGACCACATCTGTGGGAGCTAGTGTCCGAGCTGATCCACGCAGATCATATTTTGCCGGCAAGACAGCCGCCGCCAGAAGCCCAAACGGGAGCATGTCTAAAGAAATACTGGACCTCCAAACAAGCAGAGGACGTGGACGATCAGCCCTCTGTGTCAGATGGGGAGGACATGCCACATATATCCGAGAACCTTGAAAGCGCCTTCGATGCCTTTTGCTTTCTCAGGGATTCGGTGATCCGTTCTGCTCCAGGTCGCAGCTCACCAGGGCTCCATACTTGTCCGAAGCTCCTCATGTCTCTAAGTGCAAAGGCTCGGAATCATTTTCAAGCATGTTCCCGAGGCCTTAGCTACTCCGTCTACAATCCGGACTCTGACGCTTGGAGTGAGCTGCAGATCTAGTATGGCAGGCGGAGTCGCTTTCTTGATGCCTGAGAATCCCGAACCCATTGGCCACCTTGAAGCGGTGTGTCCCCGAAAACTCTTCTGGATTTCTGGATCGCAAGCCAGCCTTTTGCGGCCCAGCCCCTCAAAATCCAGCCAAGCTTTGCATCACCGGGTCGCGCCTGAGGAGGTCACAACACGGGGCGTGTGGTACTGGGGGGACGAGCCCAACTCCCGTGGGCAGAGGGCGCCTGCCAATCACCGGGCAGAGGCGCAGGGCTCAGGCTCTGCCGCGAGTCCGCGAGTGAGAATGGCCGAAGCTCTGCACTCTGCAGGTTGGCCTGCCGGAAGAGTCCATCGAGCATCTGAACCAGTCCTGGGAAGGACTTGCAGCTCTCTTTCCCTTTCTTGAAGTTCAGCAGAAGTTACAAAGTTCAGAGAGGCAAGCCTCATGGCCGAATTGGCCGAAGGACTCGATCCTGAGGATCTCGAAGGCCTTGCTGCTGGCCAGCGTGACGCGCAAGTCACAGAGTGGCGAAACATGGCTGAGGCGCGTCTTGGGATGCCAGGGCTCAGAGGCTACGGGACGTAGCATGCAGCATTGGGGTTGGTTCGATTCTTGACGGCTGAGGCTCTCCGATCGGGGAGGCCCCTAATGCCGAAGGTTTCAACAACGCTGAAACCCGAGCAGGCCAACTTCCGCCACTTTGTGACGTCCGTGCGCGAGTACTGTCTGGAGGCCAAGCTGCTTTTGATGCGCCAACCTCGCATTGCGCTTGGCACTCGCTAGGCAGGGGAGGGCCTCGAGGATCAGGAGCACATGCTCACCATTTGCAAGCTGGCACAGCAGGCCGTGGCCCAGTAAGTCTCCTGTCCTGCAGTCGAGTGCGTGCTGTTGCCTTCTTGTCGGAACTGCCGCCCCTTCTCCTGTTTCGTCTGACCTGTGTCCTGCTGACACGAGAACCCCCAATCCCAAATCTAAATCCTGAATGTCCAAACAGCTCCGAGGGAGGGTCAGAGAAATGCACCCGCGAGGTGGTGAAGCAGCTCCGATTGGGTCCTTCGGACAGCATGGACATCCTGAATTACTTGAGCCCCGGCCGAGCAAAGCTGTCCAGAGTCGGGCATGCGCTCAGGGGCCATTGGGACCTGGGGTCAGGAGAGTGGTTGTGGTTGTGATGGTTTGATGCAACCGTGAAAGCTTAAACGGTTGCAACAGGCACGTGTGGAATCAAGCGCGCAGGAAGCAATTGATACAGCTTGGGACAAAGATGCGCACGTCGTGGTGGTTCGTGCGAACGAGTCCTGGATGCCGGATTGACAACTGCTTCAAATTGCCCCTAAGACAGTGCTGTGTATCCACGCGTGTTGCACAGGTGCGACGTATCCAGCACACCTCCAGAACACCAGAACAGATGTTTTCTCCCGGAGGTGTCGATCCTTTTGGCCCATGCTGCAGACGCAGCATAAGCTTGGACATACAGCCACGCCAGCCAGCAAGCGTTTCGCCTCAGCCTCGAGCGCTGACGTGACTTTTTCCGGAGACGCAAAAGAGCAACCTAAAGCAGACCTCCAGAGCTTTCCAGAATCCGTGTTGTCCCAACGAGAGGTTTCTGTGGCTGTGTCTCCGACACAGATGGCCGGGAGCAAATAGGGGCAAAATTACTGCAGTTGACGACCACGCACGAGCAGCCGAGCACGAAAGGAACCACACACGCTTCAAACAGGCAACGGCCGGGCTCGCCAAACGGTCAGTCAGAGCTACTATCTGTGTGTTTCGATGTGCTTGCAGCGGGAACGAGCTCTATGGAACGTTTTTTGATTTGGTTTGGTTCGGCAAACCCACCGTGTCGTTGCATTTTGGGGCTGTCTGCAATCCTGCCATCGAGGAAAATCAAGAAGATTCCAGGCGGACATATCCGAGACTCGAGGCTGATACTTCGCTTGCGACCAGCTCGTGTTCAGCATAGCAGCGGCAGTCATTGTAAGGAGCGAGTACGAGGCAGGCTAGATCCAACCTTTCGGAGGTGCCACGATGGTGTCGTTTTCTCCGGGGACGTCGTGCACCAGAAGATGATTACAGATATTGTGACTTGCAGATGCCAATAGTAAGAGCAATGCCCGAAACACCAAGAGACATCGTCTCGAATCAGCAACCCGAGGGATCCCAAGCACCAGTCCTTGCTTGCATGGGGGGTACAGCAGGCACTAAAGATACAGGTGTCGGGTTCGCACTTGTGTATGAGTCAGGAAATTTGAAGAGGGCTTTGGCGTCCATCAGGCAGACTGCCCGCTGACCCTCATACAGCTGCCATTGACCTTTGACTACTTCAACATGAGCCTTGCCTTTCAAGGAGTTCAGCAAAGCCCCAAACGTTCCGAAGCCTTCGGATTCCTGGCGAACCTCAAGACTTCAACTCGTCAGCCGTGAGCCAGGCAACGTCAAGCCAGCTCAGTCACAGCCAGAGGCACTGAGAGTGTGGGGTGTGCCTGCAGGCCAGGCAGGCCACACGAGCAGCTTTGCCTCAGTCGCTGCCCGTATTGATGCCGAGAAGGCTGCAATTCTGGTAGCTTTCAACCCAATCCGCTTCCCTTCCCCACAAATAAAGCAGCTGCCCCACTTCTTGAGGAAAACGGACCTCGATGCCCTCCGCGAGCAGGAGCGGATTTATCTGGACCTGAAGGCTGACACACCATGCACAGATCCTTCTCGATCATGTAGTTTTTTCTGAGTACAATGGTGTCCCCGCTGTGCTGGTCTATTTGGACAAGATTCGATCGCATTTCCTCTTCGTGCCTGTGCTCTCCGCAGGCTTTTGTGCAACCGGCTGAGCGGAAATGGAACCAGCCGTGGGGCCGTAGGGCTGCAGATCACTGACTGCTCTGGCCGCAGCAGGTGGAGAAGATTGTCAAAGATGTGCAACCGGAGAGCCCAAAGCTTCTGCTTTGTCAAGCAGCTTGGTTCTTCGTTCATTCGTGACATGTCGTGGCATGCTTTGGACAGCTCGTGGTGTGGGATCTCTGCCTCGACTTAGGCCGTGGTGTCCCAGCTCGCGCAGGAGAAGCTTCGTAACCAAGGCCCGAGACATACACGAACACGTGGGATGCCGAAAAGTCCGAATATGTCCGAATCTTCTTCCCGGTGGCATTGCTGCAGGCATTACCGTGATCATCGGCGTGCCCGAGAAAATTCTGTGGCCCGTCCGGGATGGCAGTCTTGTGTCTAGTGGCTAGTGTTCTTCCAGCCCAGAAGCTACGGAAGGCCACAACTAGTGCTGACCCAACCACCGGTAAATTCTAAAGATGTTGGTGTCCGGGCATGTCGAGTGTGTATACTTACATACATATACATAAATCTGCCTGTTTGTGTACACACGAACCCGCAGTGGAGCTTGAAGCTCACATTCATTGGAGAATATGGGACCAAATCTGTTTTATCTCAAAGGCAGGATTTAATTTGTTATGTTAATGCATCAATATAACTGTAGGCAGAAACGTGTGTCCTGTGCAATAATAGGAACACGGCGGGACGAATCGAGCCCTGATTTTCAAGTGTGCTGAAGCGAAGCGCACGCATTTATCTAAGTTGAACACGAACGAATTTACATTCTGTTTGCTTTACTTTCAATGACACTAGTTTGTCCTTTTTCTGTTAAATTCGTTCACCACCTTTCATTAGTGAGGAAGCAAAGCGATGACATAAGCACAAACGACAGAACAATCCAAGCGAAGTGATTCGGTGTTGTTTTTTCATGCTTCATTCTCTGGTGTGATTAGCTCAAACGAGCACGCTTCTGTTGTTCGACTTGTTTCGTGTCTCCCTCTTTGTTCTATTTCTTTGCCCAGTTGATCTAGCGCGATGACGCGCAATTCAGTCAACGAGAGAGAGAGAGAGAGAGAGACCCCGAAGTGCTATCGATGCGCCTCGGCGCGGGTTGGGGGGTAACTCTCCCGGTTCAAACCCCTGGCAAAGCAAAGCAAACCCCGAAGTGAAGTGAAGTGAAGTGAAGTGAAGTGAAGTGAAGTGAAGTGAAGTGAAAGAGAGAGACAGAGAGAGAGAGAGAGAGAGAGAGAGAGAGGGGAACCAGCAGTCGTTGTTCACACTACTCTAGCTCTGACCACCATGTGGGTCCGCACAACAGCCTCCTCCACCCGACCCACACGCAACAGCAGTCGAGCTAGTACTTCTCTGCCTGACGACGATCCGGACCCTTGTCGGTTTAGGGGGGCGCCCGGACTCTACCAAGTGCAGCAGCTGCTGCAGGAGGGCACCCGCCAGTTCCACGGGGAACTCAAAGCAAGAGACGGGGCAGCAGTCCACAGAGGCGAGGACCTGGCGGAGAGGGCAGATGAAATCTGCAGCAACGTCCTCCACTCCCTCAACAATGCCCCGGCCGACGACCTGCAGCAACGGGAGGACTCACTGGAAAGACTCCTTCAACTTGCAGAAGGAGTCAGTGACGCACACCAAGCGGCGTGGCGGGCACCAAACGAGGAGCAAGATGACTTGGACACGGCAGCCGAGTGGAGGCACTTAATGCAACGCACGAGGCACCAAGCAGATGTGCTGGTTCACAGCGGGGAACCTGACACTCAACCGGAGCACCCGCCACCAACGGCCCAGCCGGAGCTGCCACTGAGGGGCCCCCAACAAAGACACAGAGAAGCCTTGCAGGTGTTTGGTGCTGTACTGTATCGTTTGTATGTAAGGGTTCTTGATATTGCTGTGAAAAGGGGGACGAGGCCACTAGCGGAATGGGGCAAAGAGGAGAGTGAAATAAATCTGGGGCCCCGTTTAGTATGATTTATCGGTCATGTTTGTAGCTTCTTCTTGGTCACTGTCTCCGAAGCGGGGCAGTAAGCCTAGATGTCTTTGCCTCCATTCACCCCATCCCAAAATGGGGTGCGCATTCGTGCAAGGAGGCCCGCAGAAAGAAAGACAAAAAAAGAGATTTTGTGTATTAGATGAAGAGTTTCCGAAAGCATCGCGAAGGGTTAATCCGTCCGAAGCCCTTCAGAGAAGTACATACATCGAGTCAAGTGCATCGAGTCAAGTGCATCGAGTCAAGTGCATAGTTGCGCATAGTACATAGAGTGAAGTACATCGAGCCAAGTGCACAGTGCACAGAGTCAAGTACATCGAGCCAAGTACACAGTACACAGAGTGAAGTACATCGAGTCAAGTGCATAGTTGCGCATAGTACATAGAGTGAAGTACACCGAGCCAAGTACATAGTACACAGAGTGAAGTACATCGAGCCAAGTACATAGTACACAGAGTCAAGTACATCGAGCCAAGTACACAGTACACAGAGTGAAGTACATCGAGCCAAGTACACAGCACACAGAGTCAAGTACATCGAGCCAAGTACACAGAGTGAAGTACATCGAGTACTCGACTAATCTACATCTCGTTATATCTATAATTCTTTTTAAAACCGGGGCGGCGCCGATGTCATCGATCGGGAATGCAACCCTTTGCGTGGATTGGCGTGGTCGAGCGCGCGAACGCGAGGTAAAGTTGCTACTTTTAGGGTTCTCGCGCAACCCTTGGCGTGGTCGAGTGCGCGACCGCGGGGTAAAGTGTTTTTGGAACTTGTAGGCGTGACGCGCAACCCTTTGCGGGGATTGGCGTGAAAGTTGCCACTTTTAGGGTTCCCGCGCAACCCTTTGCGGGGATGGGCGTGGTCGAGCGCAGGAACGCGAGGTAAAGTTGCTACTTTTAGGGTTCCCGCGCAACCTTTTGCGGGGATTGGCGTGGTCGAGTGCACGAACGCGAGGTAAAGTTACTACTTTTTGGAACTTGTAGGCGTGACGCGCAACCCTTTGCGGGGATTGGCGTGGTCGAGCACAGGAACGCGAGGTAAAGTTGCAACTTTCAAGCGTGACGCGCAACCCTTTGCGGGGATTGGCGTGGTCGAGCGCAGGAACGTGAGGTAAAGTTGATACTTTTAGGGTTCCTGCGCAACCCTTCGCGGGGATTGGCGTGGTCGAGTGCACGAACGCGAGGTAAAGTTGCTACTTTTAGGGTTCCCGCGCAACCCTTTGCGGGGATTGGCGTGGTCGAGCGCACGAATGCGAGGTAAAGTTTCTACTTCTAGGCGTCCCGCGGACTACGGTTGTACTTGCAATACAGGACTTACACAAAGTGAAGTATGCACTTGCCGAGTGCATAATACATAGAGTGAAGTACATCCAATTAAGTTCATTTACCACAATACACAGAGTGATGTACATCGAAATAAGTGTACAAAGAGACTCTATGCATCTATGCCGTAGACTATATGACTCTATGTACTTCACTTTATGCATTGGACTATGTACTTGATGACTTTATGCACTTGACTCTATGTTTCTATGACTCTATGCACTGGATTCTATGTACTCAAATTGTGCATTTGACTCTATGACTTTATGTACTTGACTCTATGACTTTACATAGCGCAAAACTTTTGGCAAATGATGCTTTCGGGCCACTCGTCTTCTAGTTTTTTTGTTGCGGTTATTTACCGTTGTCCTTTTGTGATCAAGTACAGTGCAAGCATGAATAAATACAACAATTAAATATAACAATTTCAACGGAATCAGGAACAAGGTTGACCGTGCTTCGCGGTCAGCCTCCGAGCTCCACCACCAGAAGTGGGTGTTTTTCCGTCATGTTCAATATGTTTGCTTGCTTCGCTCGTTCTTTATGTACATGGATTAACACGCCTTGAGCCTTGACCCGTCTGGCCCTGACCAGGAATGCTGTTGCCCGGACCGCAGGCTGCAAAGTCGTTCCAGCGGCGGCTTGGGCGGACCAGTCTAGCATGGGTTGCTGACACTCCCCTGCTCGTTTGGCACCCACGACCTTCTCCAGTTCAGATTCTGGTCACAGATGCGGATATTTGGCATTGGACAGCGTGCAGACTTGACAGATCGCATGTCGCGTTTTAATTTTTGAGTTGAACTGAGCTCAGGTGGACTCCATTCGACGGACAGGTGATGCAATCGGAGGCAGCTGCCTTTGTCAGCCTCGTCCCCATCAATCATCATCATCATCATCACCATCACCATCACCGTCATCATCATCATCATCACCATCATCATCACCAACATCATCATCATCATCATCATCATCATCATCATCATCTTCATCATCACCGTCATCATCATCATCATCATCATCATCATCAACATCACCATCACCATCACCACCATCATCATCATCATCATCACCATCATCATCATCACCAACATCATGATCATCATGCTCACCATCCGAATCCTTTGTGACTATGGCGGCCCGGTTCCCAATCCTGTGCTAGGTCATCCCGTTTCTTGCCCCGCACCGGCCTCTGCCCGTCCCTTTCTTCAGATGCCGTGCCGTTCGAAAGACTACCCCTCTCAACTCGTATTCATTCTCAAAGGGTTACATTTTTCCAGTGCCTTCAGAAAGGGTCGCAATGTTATTCTCTATGTCTGCAGCTCTTCTTTCTCTGGCCTCTTTCGGGTATGCTGCCATCTCTCAAAGTCTTCAGTCATTGTCGAACGACTTTGCTTTTCTCAGCGAACCGAGAGGTTTGCTGTAGCCTCTTTCGAGTTCTCAAATCTTTCTCTGCAGGTTTGCCCACGTCTTAAAGTCTTTCGTCCTTGCCGTTTCTTTGGAAAGCCGTTTGTTAAGTGCTTGCAACAATGTCGCAGACTCGCCCTCCTCATCTTCATCACCAGCATCACCTGTACCCCGTGTGGTCATATCCAGACCCATCTTGGTCCTGAGCTTCTTTCAACCATCTCCATGCTGTGGTCATTGATACACGGTGCATGTGCGGTGCCTCAACCGGGAGAAGGGCATATGCCCATTTGGTCGGCTTCCAGCTGCTGGTCCTTCCCACGAGAGCACAGAAACATATGGAACACTCAACCAGCTGGCAACAGGAAAGGCGCGTCACTTCTACGTGGCGCGCATCGGCCACCCAGGAGAGGCTGGAGCTAAGCCCCTGTGGCTCGGCACTGAGTTGTGGGGTTAAGGAGGCATTGAAGCCCTACCGCACAGACTGCTGTTGGGCTAGGAACAGACAGGGTGTACGCACTCTGCGGGCTAGATGGTGTTCAGCTCAAGTTTGCTTCGACTGGACTGGATCTGCTGGACTGCCTTGCATCTCTCGAGGACGGTGATCGAAGGCTCCAAGAAGGGGAAGTTCAGCAACTCGTCCAACTAGGCTGCTGATGGGTACCGGCCCTGTCTTGGAGTGGGTCGCAGTTCTCCAGAGTTCGATGAAATCTCCGACAAGGCACCATCGTTCTCCGGGGTGGCGGGCATCACCCCGACGTGCGGGACCTGGGCAAGGGGCTTGGGGCAGGAAGCGAGGCAGATGTGGCACTGCAGCCCCTGAGGCGCCACATTTCCTTGCAAAGGCGAAGAAGGCCTTTCTGTTTTCGATTGGTGAATGCTTTGGGTTTCAGCCGATTAGTCGTTAAGCAACAGCTCCGATCGAGCCGCAGTTTTTGACAGCGGAAGTGCAGTTTCCGTGGCCCGGCTGACCTTTGGGTGGACCTGCCTGTGGAAAAACACTTCAAGATTGTTTCAAGCTTGGCTCCTCGCTGTTGTTTCGCGCAAGCTTTGCTGGTCGCACTTGTCCACAGCTGGCAATGTCAGGTTGACATGACTTGTAAGTCGTAAGCCTTGCCGTGCCGTACCGGCGGCTGTGGCCAGAGCACGATTCTGGCGAGAGCGCAAACACTCCGTCATTGCTTCACTGTCCATGGGCCTTCGTTTTCCCTTCAACTTCTCATGCTTGTAGATCCCCGTCGACCTTGCCTCAGCAGGGAGAGGCATTTAGGAGCGTTCAAAAACCGCCAAACATAACCGGGTTGTTGACAAATGTGTACTAGATACTTGTCTGGAGCAGCACAGTCTTGCTTGTGGTGGTAGGGTCGACCATGTGCACAGGCTTTGGATAGGTGGTAAGTTCGTCCGTGCAAACGCAGATTGCAATTATGTTAGACCAGCCAGCTCGGGTTGCTGAGACCATTTGCACCGCATGCTTTGCTGGAGGTTCTGCGCTGGGCTGTGCGCCTGGCTCGGCACTTGCAGCTGGAGAAGCCCGGATGCATACGAGCCATCGCGTCGCCTTGACAACATCAGGTCCGCGCAGTGTTGCAGTCTTGGGGGGATCTCGTTTATGATCTCAGTCATGTCAGTCAGTCTGTCAGCGTCTGTGTATGCCCCGACCTGCACGCTCAGGGCTCAGGGTGCTACGAAGTTACCACATCCATCGCAGCCCTGTAAATGAGGCTGCATAATTCGATCCGCGCCGATCGGAGATGCTGCTTGCTGTCACCGTTCAAGCCGAAGCTAAGGAGTGAACTTCTCTTTGAAATGTGGTGCAGCCGATGGAAGCGAGAGGTCAGCCATGCGAGAGAAGGCCGCAAGAGCGGGCGAACGATTCGCATGTTCATGTATACCTCATCTCTTGCATTGGTCAGAAATCCGACCCTCCAAAGTCCACTTGGACAGGCGGTCAGCCAGAGTTTGAGAATCTCGACATCTTGTACTACAGTGTGGCTTGGTATGTTTGCATTGAGACATGGGCACATCCAGCTGCAGAATTTATATCGATGTCCACAGTGTCCGTACCTCCTGCTCTTAGTCTAGCACGGTGTTGACCTTCGTGCCGTGCGTTCAGATGGTGCCTGTTTGTGATATGAGGTCAACCGGGACAAGAGTTGCTCGGCTCTCTTCCGCTGCCGCTTTCCGCCCTACCACAGCCAGGACGAAGAGGCAGTTTCGTGGATCAGCGCAATGCAACATGTCCGTGTCAAGCTCGTAGTTGTGCTTGCCCGGGGCAAGGTTTGATTCAACAAAATTGCAGAAACAGTCTGGATTTGGTTGGAAGGGTTTACTTAGTTTACTTGTCAGGCTTCGAGCACCGAACGTGAGATTGTCACAATGCGCGACTGCACCGTCCGCGAATGGCTGGAGTCGTGCCTGAAGCGACCTCAGGCACAGCTGTCATGTGTGCAGCCGGGGGCCGAATCTGTAGCTGAAGCTGGCTTTTGCGCAAAGAGGAGTCCAGGTGTGTCAGATAGTGTCATTAGAACCTCACATTTTGCACTGGATCCACGTTTTTGTGACCCGTGGCAACAGAATCAGAGATGCGTTGTCGCTATGCGTGACATGCCTCGCAGGCACAGACCCCCGCACCTTCTGCGACAGCGGCCCTCTCCACTGAGGCTGCCAATGAAAGTCGGAGGGACGTCGGAGGGGCCTGGACAGGTGCATGACAAGAGCAAAGGCACCAGTAGCGCAATCAGATGTCCCAGAAACTTGTAGGACCTTGTGTCTGAACGTGCAAGGATGCTGTCCTGACGGCAAACATGCACACCATCGGGAACTCCTTTCGCGAGGGTGACTTGTCAATGCTTGTCTTCGTCGGGGTGGTTAGAATCAGAGGGTGTTGCTGTCTACGGAGAAGAGAGTTTCGACATGGCTTGCTCAAGAATTGGACAGCATTGTGTTTCAGAGATCTGTTGTGAAGCTTGCAGGACTTCGATCAAGGGTTCTTTCTGGTCCTCAGGACAGGTTCAACATCCCACGTTAGTTAGCGCATGCTAGGCAGCCTTGCAGAGAGCCAGCTGGTTAATGTAGCCTGTGAAACCAAGGACTCGGATCATTGACTTTCCTTAAGAGTTTTTCATTATCCCCTTCGAGACACAGGCTCCCACACGAGCACCATTTTAGTTGCGAGAGTGCCAAGAAGGACGCAGCGACGGAAGTTCCACGGACCCACCTCTGCCTGAGTTGGGCAAGGCAGGGAATTTGAACGTGATCTGAGTTGAAGTGGTGAAGGCTGGCGCTCTGGAGTCGTCTCTTGACTCTTGAAACGCATGCCGATTCTCTGCCTTCGGAATTGCGACATCATGGGCAGCACGTGGAATGAAACAATGAAGCTTCAGGTGTGGGGCGGGCCTTAATAAGATGGGTGAGGCCCCCCAAGACACTTAGACTATCATCAACAACCTACGAAAACAGGGTCTCTTGTGGGAGTGCAAGGATGAATATTGGAAGTGCTTCTGATCGGAGGTGCTCTGCTTTCAGCGGCTCCGCAGCCGTGTCGTGCCCTGTCTGCCTGGCAGTGCTAGGCTGAAAAGGGCCATGAGGGTGTTGGCACAGTTTTGGAACAAGGCTGGTACTACTACGCGGTCCTTACAGGATTCTGCGGGCACGTGATTGGCATGTGATTGAAGCCCCATGTTCCCGCACATTCGAAGCTTCAGGAATCAGTGGAATTGAACACGCCTGAGTTGAGGTCGTCGAGCTCCTCGAGAGCAGCGAGGAGTGACCGTCTCCATTCTTCTTTTGCATGGCGGGGAAGAATCGTACGAAAGATCGTCTGCAGCTAACATGAGGGGTCTTGAAGAGTTGGTTCGGTTATTGTTCATCGAATACGCATCTCATGCTGATGGCTTGTCAGAAGCGATCTGACATCTGCCAGCGCATCTGGTGAGCTCGTCTGAATGTTCAATTGAAGGCCAACGGAAATGATCTGAAGATGATACACGGGAAGCCTTGAAGCAGGCACTGCAGGGTCTGTATTCCACATTGTACGACGTAGTACTCCAAGTTGCTTCCTGTGCCCAAGTATAAGTATCCCCACTTCTCCAGGAGCGCGGGCGGCTGAGGTCCATGCCGGGCGACCTGCGAAGTACAGAGACCGGGCCAACCTTCACGCGCTGGCCTCTCGACCATAGCTTTAAATCAGACCGCCTGGAAGCCTCAGATGCAGAAAACCCGGCCCTAGCTACGGTAGACCCTTGCTAAGGTCGGCGTTGCAGAAGCCCGGGGAGCAGGTGCACGCCTATGTGCATGGGCTGCCCACATAGAACTGGGTGATGGCTTGACGTTAGCTGTTTAGCTGCTTGCTGATTTTGAACCGCAAGTGGTCAGGTGGAGTCCTGCAGCTCCTCGGCCGAAGCGGAGTGGGCGAAGGGATTTCGGGGACAAACACTTCTTTGGCTAAGGCTCTCAGATCCAAGCGGAGGACCCGTCTGGCTCTTCGCCTTCCTTCGAGCGGTGCCTTCGCTGCATCTGCAGGAAGCACTTCTTGAGTTCCTGCAGTGCACTCTACTTCCCGTAGCGTGGCTCCGTCCGATTCCAGCCTGAACAGCACTCCCAAGTTTTACAAGGCTGGCCCCAAGCAGCATGATCACCTTGCTCAAGTCTCGCCTCACAAACCACATTCCATCAACAGCGTTGGTGCCAGTTTCGGAATCGAGACAGGACAGGGTGGAACAGCCAGAACCGGCCAAAAAGGGCCAGCCAGATGCAAAAACATTGCGCGAGCTTCGAAAGACTCCAACAGAGCCCGTAAGAGAAGCTACCGATCGTGTTAGGACCACAGATGGGATGGGGGAAGGTGATGATTTGGATGATGGTGATGGTGATGATGATGACGATGATGATGATGAGGAGATAAGAAGACGAGTCGAAACGCGTAGTTAGTTTTCAGACCCGTGCTGCCAAGTCCTCGAAGCCCGCATTCAGGAAATCCGGGGACAAAGAGCCCCGTCTGACGCTGGAGCTGTGGCGATTCTGCCGGAAGTGCAGCTGTCAGGTGAGAATGCCCGGTCTTGCTGCGTGCTAGGAGGAGCGACATGTTGCCGGAAACAGGTTACCGCATAATGTTATTTCAAACTAGAGCCAAGGGCTTTTCATGCTTCATTTTGGTTGGGTTGGTGCCTCGGGTCATTCCCGAAAGACCCGAAACCTCAATGTGACTTTGGAAGGTCACTCCTCGGAGCGCCCTTTCCGAGTCGGCCAGCTGGCACTCCATGTCCAAATTCCTGGACAGGGCCTTTGGGTTTAGGTTTGGGGTCCTTTAACTTTTCAAGAGTCTAGGATTCAGGCGTAGCTTTGCCCACAGGCATATAGATCATGGCAAGGCTGGACTAACGAAGGAAGCTTAGGGTGGGCAGTGCGAGATGGAGTCTGCAGTGGCCTGGCTGGAGCTGGAAGCCAGCTGTGTTTTGCAGGCGGGTTCAAGAGTGTATTCGAAGCGTGAGCTGATAGTTGTGGCATGCCGTGGCCTTCAACGTCAGTGCAGTCCGGCATGATGCCAGGCTTCCTGCGTTGCGTTTCCCACAGTTCATTCGGAATCCCTGCCAGCTCGGAGGACATTCTCTTGCACAACACCACATCCGAATTTTCACCTCTGGCATCCAAGTTGCTGCCCACCCCGCCTGGGACTCCGTGCACACACGTGCCGTTTCGAGAGTCTCGCCTTTGTTAGGTTTTGGCAGGCTTAAGTTTTTTCGAAGCCGTTTCTGCAGTCCAAGCTCGTTGGCAGCTTGAACCATGTAACCAGGCGCAACAGCCTAGGACCACATCCTCTTCTGCGGCAGTCCGGAGCGGCCCACTTTGTTCTTGGGATTTAAGCATCTCGGTTCACTGTTCAGACTCGCAAACGCATTGCAAGGGCAAGTCCACCGAGTGCCGGCCTGCAAATGACCAAGCACGGCAAGTTTCAGGTTCTCGTAAGCGAGCTACTCTTCTGTTTTGCATCGCCACCCGGTTGCTTAGGTGGGAGGCCGTGCTGCTGTGGCAGCTTAACAGCCCGCATGCACCTCTCTGGGATGCGGCGACGGGGCTCTTCCTCCCAGCGCCAGCCACAGAACCTCGGTCAGAGATGTAACTTGCTGCGTAGATCCAAATCGTGGATCTTGTAGCATTCCTGCCTATGGGCACCAGGCAAGTGTGTTGTGTCATGCCGCAGAAGGAAAGTCAGGAGGCTACTAGTGCAGAGCTACCGCATGCAGCATCGACAAGGTCTGGGCAAAGGCAAAGAAACGCGGGCATGGCGAGGACGAGAGCGAGCTCGAGGAGGAGGAGGAGGACTCTTCTTAGCCGCGACCCATCGCGGAGAGAAGGCACCCGCTCCACTGGTATCGTTTCAGCGAGAGACATACCGTTGAGGGCCTGATTGACATCTGCCGCGAGACGGCGTGGCGTCTCCTTGCAGATGTCAGTCAGGCCCGGGTAACTGATGTGAAGAGTCGTCCTCCGGGGCTCAACTCGATGTTGCCAAACGAGATCCTCGCGATGAAAGCTGCAGAACGCCACAGTCAAACACTGAAGCCTCGGAGCTGCAGTTCCAACCCTGACAATGGGCGGTGGCCTGCAGCTTCTGCAGGTGGGAGCCCGACCAGAAAGACGACTCTGAATGCATGCCAAGTATTAAAACCGCAAGCCGTCCAGCATGATGAATAGAGTGGCCGAAAGGAAGACTTGCAGCGAACACCAGCTTTCTTAGATGCAGTTTCGTCATAGGCTAGGTGCCGCAGGATGTTCCTCTTGCATACGTGGCCAGCTCAGGGACGGGTTGTGTGCACTTTCTGACTGCACCAAAGTGGAACATGAATTTGAGGGCCGGGTTCTTAAAGCATTCATTCAATTACAGACTCATTTTCAGTGTCGGTTTTCACACTTGCACCCCTCTTCGCAAGTCAAATCGCTCGCACGCCCACCGGCAGAGATGTCAGCACAGCACGTTCTTGTTGGTGGGGGATGAGGCGTGTGCATGGTGGTGTTCTTAACAAGGGTCTTAAAGCGCGGCTGCGTTGCTACCGCCGAATCAACAGGTAGAACCGACAGAACCGATCCGGCTCAGCAAGCCGTCCCAGTGTGTGCCAGTGAGTCTTGCGGTCCTGCCAGTTGGGCAAGGTTGCTTTAGTTGCTTTAGACAATCTTTCCTTCCAGCATCTCTAGTCACTAGTCCTGCTTGTGTAAGATCATGCGCGTCAGGATCGCTGGTTGTGACTCCAAGCTTCCGGGTTCGTGCCCGACCCCTGAGCCCTCGTCACGCAAGCCCACAAGGATGGCCAAGAGAAGTCCAGCGAAGAGCAGGGCGCCGAGGGTGCAGAGTCGGTGCCTGCAGCCCCAGAGCAGCTGTGCAAAGTGCCTAAGCTCGCTTTGGAAGAGAAGGCTTCCGGGCTAAAGTGGCTAAGCGGGCAGAGGCGGTTTCCCAGGTGCTGATCGAGCTGGAGGCGTTGCAGGAGCGCATAGCAGAGTTCATCCGCAGTGTGTTGATCTGCCTCTCCACCATCGAGTCCGAGGACATACTGCCTGAGAAGGGCGAGCATCGGGAATCTGCAGAATCGTAAGAGTAATGAAGCCGCGTGCCGAGCCGACCCGTGCACTTGTGTGGCAACGTCGAATCGCTGAAGAAAGGTTTCTAAAGCCGTTTTTGCGGGCACTCCAGAGTCCAGTTTCAAAACCACGCTGTCCGCTGCGTGCTGCGACGCTGCGTGCTTCCTGTTTCTCTTCATTCCCGGGTCTGAGTGGACAATCTCACCGACAAGTGCACCAGAAGCGCGACATTACTGGCAGCCATCAACTGTGAACCAGGGTGAACCTCGCCTGCCCCACCTCCGAAGATTCGGGGACGGTTTCGCACTGTCGCAGTCGCATTCGCATCGCTTTGTACAGAAGTTCAAGGTCCGACGCAGTGCAACAAACATGTATAGCACAGATGTCACAA